CCCGGTTTCTCACCTTCCTGGTGAACTGCTTCTCCAGTTCGCGTCCCCCGTAGACGTAAGGTACGTACCTTAAGCGCCTCACCCACAGACCCTCGAGAGTCAATGATTTATTTGGGCACTCTTTTCTATTTATTTAAAAGCCTGCTTGTATACGCCCACCCTTGTTNCAGACCCTCGAGAGTCAGATTTATTGGGGCACTCTTTTCTATTTAATTAAAAGCCTGCTTGTATACGCCCACCCTTGTTGCCCGATCGGCGCCAACAGGTCGCAGTGCCGCTGGTCCTGCACATGCTCTGCGATGCGGAAAACCAGCAGGTGGAGCCCGCCGGGGACGTGGAGACCAAACAGTGCCTCGCGGAGCGGAAGGTGCAGGCCTTCGCTCACCGCATGAACGGAGGCTATAAGACCAAGAAGGCCCGGGAGTTCCAGAATGCATGAGTCGATCTTATAAATAGTTACGTTTGACGATAATATTTTCGTCCGGGCGCGACTGCACGACGGGAATAGCTTCTCCGTCCTTCGTACGAACGTGGCGCCGTAGCGAGTACTTACATGCATCCTCGTAAGCTCCTCGAGGCTAATGTTGTGGAGGACGTGTTGAGAAGGCGTACGCATCGGTGCTTCTATTGTTGCAGGTGTATCAAACGCGCACGGCGGGACCTACTTGCAGCAATTTTGCCAAGATCTTCGCCGCAGGCCACCCACCATCTATCACGCAGCGTGGGTTCTCACAGCTTCCTTTTTGTGCCCGTGCTGTTCCTTGTGTAGATTGTGGTACTACCTGTTCGAGTTCGCCACGGGCCAGTTCCGCTTGGCCGAACCCATCCTGCGCGTCCCGAAGAAGGACTTCATAAAGAAGAGCATCGTCACCCACATCGCGCCGTTCGCAGGCAAGTTTTTCCCACACGGCCGTATTTTGTTTGTCGTATCCTCAATACAGCTCATTCAGCGTTCAGGCTAGATCAATACAAAAGGAAGGATAGGGATGCCCCCGATCCGTCCAATTCGAATCCCTGTCCTCAAAGAGACCGTCATATTCGCATGAATCTTGACTTCTCCTGATCGTGGCGTTTATCGCGTTCGCTTGTCTTCGAATGAACGAACGCAGGCGGCAAGACCGACCTCTCTGGCTCCGAGGTCTCGAACAAGGGCGACGAGGATATGCTGGTTCGCGAGACGCCCTTCGACCGCCCCGACGATGTTATCGTCGAGGCTAGCGACCTGGATGATTTCCTCAACAACATGTCGCCCTGAATTTCGTCTGCGCTAAACCCGGCAGCCTCTGTCTCCTCCCAAGTATACCTGACAAGTTTTGGGGTGAGTTTCGAAGGGGGGAGACTTCAACCTCGAAGTTGCTGCTGGTATTTCTTTGCGCGGAGTTAATGTGTTGGCTCTGACACAGCGTCGCTGCTCGGTTGTCTCATGTCCCCCACGGGGTTGATGCAGTTAAGACATCCACGCCCTGTCGCGCGGGATGGTATCATCCTGGACACCCGACCTCACCTCTGCGCTTTTTTTGTATCTGTATTTAGGATGCGTCGGAGCTGCATTGAGCTGTATACACCGGCTGCGTATCACGTCGCGCAACGGGGACCTGCGCGACGTTCGCGGTGACGGTGTATGATGCATGTTGCTCAGGATGTCGGTTGTTGCGTAGTCGCCTTGCGGGTCAACAAGGCAGAGATTTCTTTTCTTTTCTTTTTTCTGTGTGAT